AAAAAAAAAAAAAAAAAAAAAAGACGAGATAGTGGAAATTCAGGATTCTGAATCATCACTCAAAAGCAGTCTTAAGGGCAAGTAGAAAACAAACCATAAGCAAAGCATATTACAACAATCTTCCAACAGCTTGATAAGCAAAATAATTTGAAAAAAAAAGTATATATAAGAAAAGAGTAAGCAGCAAACATCAATCTGGTGGTGTTAAAGCACAAAGAGTACTTCTAAAGTTTTACCTAATTTGCACACAGAAAAAACTCTCAACTTATTCTTCAAAATCACTTACACTAGTCTAAAGTATCACAAAACGCCCCCTAGAGGTCCACAAATTTCACAGCAAATATTCACCCCAATGAAACTGCAATTTTTCAAAGATAAATGTAACAAAATTTTCAAAGATAAAATTTTGAAAGACAGGTACCTCCTTTTTTTGTAATTAAATTACTTTCCAAGGCCCCCTTTTGCAATTCATCCACTCCCCAACTCCCTGTTCAAGTAATCCACGAACATCCTTTTCGCGCTGTCGGCATCCGAGGGCGGCGGGGGCCCGCTCAGGCTCGACTGACCTGTCAGCTTGATGAAAGTCCTCCGCAGCCTGCGCAGCTCTGGTAGCCCAACGGGCCTTGGGACCTCCACATTTGGCAGGCCTGGCCCAACAGAAACCCCGCCAACCAAACTCCCCACGGCCCGTGATTGTGCCTCCACAACCATATTTACTACCTCCAGCGTGGCCCGGTCCATCTCATAAAGAGAGTTCGTTTCCCCTCCCCGGCTCGTCTGGGTCGCGATCGTCGGCTGCAGAATCTTGACGTCTTTCGTCTTCGAGTCCACTTTTTTCGTCAGGTAATTAACGGCTTCCAATATGGCGGTGCTCGTTCTTACAATTCTACCCTTACAGGGCTGTATTTCGAACAGGGGCGAGTCCCACCGGTTTTTGCTGTCGGGCCTCTCGAACCTCCTCACTAAATCCTCGAATATTCTGTCCTCGTAAAAAGACGGGTCATTTCTCTCTCTACGCTCCCGATTCCATTCGCGGCATTCATTCTTGCCGGCATCACAGTGCAGCACGCAGTAGCGGGTCCCAGCGGCCCGAGCCAGGCACCACAGCTCGTACCTATAGCCCTTGATGTTGTTAAGGGAGTCAACTATTAATATCGCATCGCGAGAAATCGAGCGGTCTACTTCAGACCTCAGGACGCCTCTCAGGTTTTTCTCGGAAGGCATGTCAGCATAGCTTCGGTTGCGGTCCAGGTGGAAGGACGATTCATCGATGATGCGGGCCGGTGTGTTGGGCTCGGATTCTTGAAGGGCTTCGAGGAGGCAGGCCGCGGCTGTTGACTTTCCGCTGCAGGGTTGTCCGCAGATGACGACTAGAGCCATAATAACTCGTCTAAAGACAAGAAACAAATATACATACTATTAAAAAGGTTTACACTTTATAGCCCCCTGTTCCAAAAGAACCATGAGATTTCGTTCAGTTCAACTGAAACAAGCATTACAATGAAGATATTTCCGCACAAGAATCGATCCTGAAACAAACACACAATCCATAGTACTTCCCCCAATTACGATATATCAAAATTAACTCTTCACAGGCATTTAATCAAACATGTCCCGAGCACAATCCAGAAACTTCATAAAATACTAACAGACATACGAAATCTGACAAGCTAATAACATGATGGGCGTACATATTTACCTGGAATTTGCAGTTAAACTGGAACAAGCTTACGATTCACGCAGGATAGAGGAGATTGAAAGCGAACCACAATGCTTTGCCTTTCTCGTAATCTTGAGCTGACTATGGCTAAAAGTAAAAAGGCTACTCTAAGCAGGTTATTAATATCTGGGCCATGACCCACGAAGTTCTTCAGAGTATACAATGGGCCTAATAAGTGTGGAGTCCCAGGCCCATATGACTAAAAATACAGCCCTTGTATAAATAGACTTTGGCCTTGTTTGGCAGTTAGCGGTTAGCTGTTAGCTGTTAGCGGATTGCATTAGCTGTTTTGACTAGCGGATGGTGTTAGCTGTTTTGACCAGCTGATTGTTTTAGCGGTTTCCAAAAGAGTGTTTGGTAAATTAACTATTTTTAATTAGCTGTTAACATGTAAAATTACTTATATGGACATCTATTTTTTTTTATTCTTGTTTATTTAAAATTATAATTATATTGAAAATAACTATTACTTATATTTAAAATATTTGTAAAACGGCTTAAAATAACATAACACAAATAAGAAATGGTTACAAGATATAATTGTGAAGTAAAAAAAAAGTTATAAAGATTTTAATTTGACATGATAACAAATATTCAAATAAAAAATAAAATAAAAAACATAAAATGTAAAAATTCGTATATCAATTATCAGCCTTTAGTCTTACTCTTCCTCTATAAATTTGCACATAATTCATCACTAAATCTTTCGTTTTTTTTTTTTTTATTTTTACAGAACACCAAATTCACTTAATTTCAAATGTCACTGGAGTATTTAAAGAAATTTGAGTTTATTTATAATCTCAATTTTATTTTTAACCCAATATATTAATGTAATAAAATATAAATCTATTTCGTGAGCTAACTTTGATTTTTAACCCCAAATATGCTAGTGTGTTAAAATAATATGAGGTAGAGTTAATGTAGTAGAGTTAATCAATGGCAAATATGTCATTTATATTTTTTCCTCAAAAAGCTATTTGAAAAAGCTTCAATTTGTAGCTTTTTGAAAAACAGCTTTTAGATCAAAAAAGCTATTTCAAAAAGCTATTAACCAAACATTTTAAAATTGAAGGTTTTAAAAGTCAAACATTCATTTTGTTCAAAAAGCTAATTTATGGCTGAAAAGCCATTAAACAAACATGGCCTTTAATTGAACATCCATTTTGTGGTTGGCCAGTTTGAGGCGGACGAGGGTCGGATGCTCAAGAACGCCTACAATAGAGCTCGTCGTGCGCGTATTAAAGAGGCGGGGCAACCAGGTTCGAGCAGGGGCGAATCTAGCAATGTATATGAGTAGGGGCCTAAATTTTTTAAAGTAGCATAACAAAATATTTTTTAAGTAAAATATCAAAGACAGAAGAAATAAAACATAATATTTTAAGTAAAAAATAAAAATAAAAAACATAAAAATTTCAAGACAATAATGATTTCACACGTTTTCTTGATATGACAATTTTAAAGGTTTTTATCCATCTGCTCTATGAAATTTCACACCAGGCCTCACGGCGCGAGGGGTGTCGCGCCGCAGCATCACATGCCGCGAGGGCTCTCGTGAGCCGACAGAGAGCAGATCTCGTGCCGCGACGTAACATGAACCTGGACAAATCATTTGTAGTTTCAGCAGTTAACTTACAATTTTAATTTGAATTTCTTAGGACTAGAGTACGTTTGAATGTTTAGTTTTCTTTGGCATACAACTTTGAACTTTCGTGGTGTTTTTCATTAATATGCAATAAATAAATAAAAAATGCTCATTTTTTAGCACAAATTCATGTGTCGACCAACAGTCGATTAGTGCCAGTTAATACATTTTCTTTAGGTTCGATACACGATCCCAAAATTAGTGTTTTCATAGAGAGAGTATCGATTGTGTATCCATGTCTAATCGAGAGTGGATTGTTCGCAAAATATTTTCACTACCCACAAGTGGACGGTGTGGCTATAGCAAGGGCCGAGCAAGGTCGAAAAGGCATCAAGTGTTTGCCACTATAGACGTCTGAAGTGCGAATGCGTGAGGATAGACGAAGCCAATAGGCAGTAGGATTGACTTGGTCCACAATCTCGACCGTGCCTATATTACGGGTTGATAACTTGGTATATGTTTATTGTGTTTTTGTCGTTATCTTCGTGTGTTTTGTGTGCTTTATTTTATAGTTTTTAGGCTCATTTTAGTGTCAACAGGTCCATTTTATCGTGTTTTGTGTATTTTTGTTATTGTATAGTGCTTTCGTATTTT